GACATATCTTTCAGGGACAAGTAGACAAATGGACAAACAGACTGATTTGACTAAAGCATTGAGTTCATAAAGAGTAGTAAAGGAAGTGTTCAGAGTTGAATAGAAACAAATTGTAAGTTATCTTTGATGTCACACTAATGATGGTTTAATTTGAATAAACCTGTGATCGCTTATTTTGAGGAAAGTGAGGAATCATAAGCTTTGAGCAAAGTAGCTACTTGTGGAAAGTTGTGTATTACAGTTTTAAGAAGATAAATCTAATGAGTATATTCTGGGTGAATCTTAGAGGTGAAAATTCAGGTTGATGAGACCAGTTACTCTTGCCAATATTTTAGGAAAGGAAAATGAGAACCTGATGTAAGAAAGGAAGATAAAATAATAGATTTTTTTCTTACCTTTTATTATAACAATGTTCAAGATAAAAAAGTAGAGAAAATGACACAATGAACCCCTAAATACCTACCACCCAGATTCAAAAGTTATTAATTCATGACTAATCTTATTCTCTCTATTCTTACCAACCTACTCTACTTCTAGGCTTTTTGAGTATAAATTTCTAAAAGATAAGGAGATGAGAATTCACTAAAAAACAACCAAAATACCATTATCATACCTAAAAAATTAACAATTTCTTAACAATTCCAAATATATAGTCAGTGTTCAAGTTTCTCTAATTTTTTAATTTGAAATTGTTTTGGGGGAAGCGTACACAGAAACTTGTGTGCACCAGGTCCAAGGGCAGAGGCAGTGATTTCATAGGAATGGGCCAAGTGTGCCTGCTGCATTTGGAGAGCCTCCTGGGGATGTGGAGGACAGCTGCAGCTCACCCAGGGGACATAAAAGCTGGTGGCGGATATTCCAGAGGTGTTAACCTACATGAGCTTTCCTGGAGGCTGACATCTTGATTGGATCACTAGCCCCAAAACCTAGCCCCACCCAACAGCCTGTAGGGAAGCCTCAGGCCAAACGACATACAGGGTGGGAACACAGCCCCACCCATCAGCAGACTTCCTAAGCCACAAAGGCCTCTAGACACAGCCCTACCCACCAGAGGTCCAGGACCAAGCTTCACCCAGCAGTGGGCAGGCACCAGCTCCTCCTGCCAGGAAAACTGCATAAAACTGCTAGTCCAGCCTCATTAACCAGGGACAGATACTAGAAATAAGAAAACAACAATCCCAAAGCCTGTGGAAGGAATCCACAAACACATATAAAGATGGATGCTCTAAGGTGGCAAAGGAGTATCTCCCAGGCAAAGGCACAAGGTAAAATCTCAGAAGAAATAAGTGATGAAGAGATAGGCAATTTATCTGAGAAAGAGTTTAAGGTAATGATAGTGAAGATGTTCGGAGAACTCAAGAGGAGTATAGATGCACAGAGTGAAGTTTTTAGCAAAGAGTTGGAAAATATAAATACCCAGAGTTGAAGAATAAAATCACTGAAATGAAGAACACACTAGAAGGAACCACGAATAGACTAACTGAGGCAGAAAAATGGATCAGTGAGCTATAAGACAGATTAAAGGAAAACACTACTACAGAACAGATAAAAGAAAAAAGAATGAAAAGAAATGAGGATAGTTAAAGAGAACTCTGGGACAACATGAAGCGCACTAACATTCTCATTATAGAGGTCTCAGAAAGAGGAGAGAGAACGGACCTAAGAAAATTTTTGGAGAGAAAAATCATTAAAAACTTCCCCAACTTGGGAAAGGAAACAGTCCCCCAAGTCCAGGAAGCGCAGAGAGTACCACTCAGAATCAACCCAAAGAGGAACACACCAAGGCACATAGTCATCAAATTGACAGAACTTAAGGATAAGGAGAAAATACTAAAATTAACAAGACAAAAGCAACAAATTACAAGGGAACTCCCATAGTGTTATCAGCTAATTTTTCAGCAGACACTCTACAGCCCAGAAGGGCGCAGCATGATATATTTAAAGTGATGAAAGGGGAAAACTTACAACCAAGAATACTCTAATCCAGCAAGGCTCTCGTTCAGACTTGATGGAGAAATCAAAAGCTTCACAGCTAAAGAAAAGCTCAAAGATTTCAGCACCACCAAACCTGCTTTACAACACATGTTAGAGGACCTTCTGTAGACATCTAACCATAAGAGAATAAAAAGGAAGGAAGGAAGGAAGGAAGGAAGGAAGGAAGGAAGGAAGGAAGGAAGGAAGGAAGGAAGGAAAAAAGACCTACAAAAGATTGCTTTGGCTCTTCGGGGTCTTTTGTGGTTCCTTGTGAATTTTGGAATTGTTTGTTCTAGTTCTGTGAGGAATGTCATGAGTATTTTGATGGGGGTTGGGTTGGATCTGTGCATTGCTTTGGGTAATGTGGCCATTTTGATAGTGTTGATTTCTCCAGTCACAAGAGCACAAGAAATCTTTCCATTTCTTTTGTGTCATTTCGGTTTTCAGAGTATACGTAACCTCCTTGGTTAGGTTTATTTCTGGGTACTTCGTTGTTTTTGATGTAATGGAAACGTTCATGCTGGTTATAAAATTCTGGGCTTTGAAGTGAAAAAAAAAGTGAATGAAGGGCTGCAAATGGCAAAAAAATACTTCTTTCTTATGGGTGAGTTGTGTTCCATTACATGTGTATTTATGCTGCATCTTCATTATCTATTCAGCTACTAATGTGCACTTAAGATGCTTCCATATCTTGGCAGTTATAAATGATGTTACTCTTAGTAGCAAGATGTGTGTATCTTTCTGAACTAATTCTATTTTGTGGTTGGCTTTATTCCTTTGATAACTATGTAAGTTTAAAAAGCTAAAGCTCTAAACATTCTTAGAAACAATGAACAGTACATATATGTAAATTAAAAGATATATGTCAGTTAAAAAAAAAAGAAATGAGCTATCAAGCCATGAAAGACATAGAAGAAACTTAAAAGACATATTATTAAATGAAAGAAGCCAGTCTGAAAAGGCTTCAACTGAACAATTTCAATCAAATGACATTCTGTAAAAGGCACAGCTATAGAAACAATAAAAAGATCATGGTTTCCAGGGGTTTGTGGGGAGGGAAGGAGGGAGGAATGAGTAGATGGAGCACAAGGGATTTTTAGGGCAATGAAATTATTCTGTATGATACTATAGTGGTGGCTACATGTCATTATGGATTTGTCAAAACCCATAGAATGTACATCATCAAGAATAAACCCTAATGTAAACTATGGACTTTGGCTGATAATAATGTGTCCATGTTGGTTCATTGGTTGTACCAAATATGCCACACTGATGAGGAATGCTGAGGATCAGGGAGTATATATATATGTGGGTGGGGAGGGTTATGTGTGAACTCTGTATTTTCTGTTCAATTCTGCTGTGAACCTGAAACTGCTCTTAAAAAAAAAAAGTCTATTAAAAAAAGCTGAAACTAGCTCTTAAAAAAAAAAAAAGTCTATTAAAAAAGAAATTGTTTTTGTAATTCATTTTGCGTCAGTATCTAAATAAGATCTATTTATTGTAATTAGGTGATGATGTTTCTTAAATATTTTTAATCTTTAGTTTTATCTTCCTTCATCTTGAAATTTATTTATTAAAGAGACAGGCAATATTTGCTGACTGCATACTCATGGCAATATTCACAATTTTCATCTGTTTCCTATATTTTTTTTTTTTCAGAAAATGGTGGTTACATTTAAAAGCTTGCTCAGATTTAGGTTTGATTTTTTTTTGGCAAGAATTGTTTATAGGTTGTGCTGTGTAGTATTGGGGGCACATAATATTTGTCTCTTGTGTGTGGTAGAGCAACTATTAAAAAAGTGGTGATGTTTTAAGTCAATCATTTATTTTATTAATTGAAATAGTACTATAAATAGAAACTTCCCATCAATAATTTGATTGCTTTGACTTACGTTTTATAGAGAAATTCAGGATAAATGCCTATTGCCATTTATGTACCAGTTCTCAAAAAAAATGAGTTGGTTCCCTAGCCTTCTCCAAAGTTACTGAAGATTTTCTTTCTTTAAAATAATTATTATGAACTTATGCATTAAGATATGTTTGATGTATTTCAACCTATTGCAATTATCCTTATTAACATTAAGTTGTCCTATCTTTGCTTAATAGGAAACCTCTTTAAATTGACTTAATCTTTTTTATACAACCCTAGTAGCCTTTGAGAGCTTTCTTACTTTCTTATATGACAAGATGTCCCAAAATCATCTTTCACCTTTTCTACCCAGCACTCAGAATTAACCATTCTCCAAGAATAGTTTATGACCTGTCCTGTGAAATGCTAGAGACCACAAATGAGTTCTAGGTGTGCTCACTGCTATAGAGTCAGTCATTGTTTTTATATATTTTTAGAGGACCAGGCCAAGGAATGTGTACTTTTTAAAGGTAAAAATTTATTGTGAGTTCCTGTGATTTATATTTATTGAGTTCCAATTCAAATTCAGGAGTATATATGTGTGTATATATATATATTTTTTTAACCAAAACGTATTGATCTTACATTTGTTCCCTGTTTCTCTTACGCCAGCACTCTTTGTTTTTAATGATTATCGTATAAATCCGTATTTGTCTTTTCCCTAGCTACAAAGACAACAGTCTCATAGTAGCAATACAGTACTTCTGTTTACCATATAAATCTTCAAACTGTATAGTTAGTTTTTCAGGTTTCACTTTTTTTGGACCTCAGAATAGATCCAAATAAGGATACACAAATTCTTGTGTTTTAAAATTGCTGTAAACATTTCTGCTTTTTGTGTTACATAACTTACTTTTTCATGTGTGAATTCCATACTGTTTAATTATAGAAGCTTTGCAATATGTGCCGATAATTTCTAGGGATAGGTTATTATCATCTCTTTTCAGAGTTATCTTTTATTTCAGGGTTGTTACTTCTTTTTTCTTCTAACTAAACTCTGTTTAGTTTTAGGGGAAAAAAAACCTAATGATATTTTCATTGTGTTGACATATTTATGACTTCCCACCCCAAAACACATGTCTTTGTATTTGTTCACTTTTACTTTTGTGTCTTTCAGGATTGTTTGGGGCCTTCTGCATATGAGAGCTATTAAAAAGATGAAAAAGTAGGACTGAAATATGAGGGGAGAAATAGAGAAAACCGTGGTTTCCAGCCTCTTTTGTGGGAGAATAATTTATTTGTTTGACAGAAATGGGATTATTTTAAGAGATTAACACATGAAATAATGGTGAGTTTTTATTTTCGTACCAGACCTGAATTGTGTGTAAGCTTCAATAGCAACTAAATATACCAATCAAATTTATATAGAAATGAATGTTATTGCAAGAAATTAGGAATAATACCTGAGAGGGTAAATAACATGAGATAGTTACGCACTATACTTAGTCACAGACATGGAAAAGTGCTCCGTTTAGAGCTCATGCAGCTTCATGCAACTTGTAGAGGTTTTCCTCCACCGCCTTTTCACACGCTTCTCACTTCATAGCGCTCTCCTTGCAACTGCCCCAGCCCTACTGCCACCACCACCTCATTCTGGACTGAACATCCATGTCATGCTATATCGGTCTTCAAACAGCTTTTCTTCAGAAATCAGGGTCCAGTGCTGCACTCTTCCCTCCTTCTCCCATCGCCCTGTGTCTACTGTCCAGTAAATCCTAAAGAAGCCGAACAAGGAAGTTGAGTCTACCTCTTAAAAAGCTCTTGAAAAATCCTATTCCTCTCCATTATCACTGCCTATGCCATTGCTTTATTCAGAACATCATTTTCTCACCTGAGCAAATCCTCAGTATGCATCTGGCCTCCTTTATCCCCTTGTTTCCTTTCTTATATGACTACATGTAGCAATATTTATTCAATTTATAGTATCTTCAAGCCATCTTCTGTACTAGTACCCGAGTCATCTTTAAAAATACAAGCTAAATACTTCTATGACCTTTGTCACTTAAATAATACTCCCAATGTATATTCCAGAAAATGCCAAAGGGTCCATGACAAATGCTGCATCTTGTATTAAGAGAGTCAGAGGGTAAATTGGCTATAAAGAGCTCCCTCTAGTAGAGAACATTTGTTCAAATGTGATCAACATAATGGGCCTGGGTTCATGTGATTTGGACATTTTAAATATATCAATTTTTTGTCAATCAGTTGCCCTGGAAACACTTTAGAATAGACCAATGTCAAGAGTAAAACAACTCCTTATTGTGAGTCACCTTACAATTGCTGTGGCGTCATCTTCCACAGGTCCCTCTTATGCCTAATATTCTAACAAGGACCAGGGGGCACAGTTTTCACTTCTGTGGACTGTGGACAGTACCCTCAAATTTGCCATACTAATTTATCTCTGTATTTGTAGGTATGCAGTACCATTTTTTCTCAATCGATTTTGCGCCCATCACCCACCTAATAAATTCCTACTCATTCTTTATGATCCAGTTTAGATGTCACCTCTCCTGTACCATTTTGAGCAACATCTACATACAGACGAATCAGAAGGGATATGATGACCCAAAGAAATATGCAAAGTGAGATGAAATTCCCCAACATACCTTCAACAATGACTATATTTAGGGATATGTCCCTGTTCTTTGGGAAGAGGCCCATGAAGGAGACTGAAGAGGAATTTTTAGGGTTACAGGATGAAAATCAATAGGAACTTTGTTCCAGAGGCCAATTAAAGTGGAAAAGTATTAATAGAAAGATTCAGATACTGCAGAGTTATAAATAGGAAGAGGAGGAAGACCAAAAAGACACACTGGAGTCACTGATGATCTTAAGGAAGCAGTTGCAGGAGAGTTATTGAACACTGCTAGTAACCACACTCTCCTTTATTCTCCAGCCCCAAACTACAGAATACTCAGAGGACTTGAAACACACATAAAGTTCCACATAGAGAAAAGCAGATGGACTAGATTGACAGCTTGAGATGAAGTTTAAGAAGATGAAGGATCCTGGGCATTGAGGAAGCATGGCAAATGAGAAGGCAAATGAGAAGGAAACTGTGAGAAAAGGGATTTTTCTCATGTTTTTCCTTGGAGGGTGACGGAGATCCTGCTAAAGGGGAAAAGTAAAGAACCTTTGCCCACCATTCTCTGGATTTGCTGTGTACATGACTGTCTAATAGTAACATATTTTCCACAATTTCAAATATTAAATATATAATAAAAGCTGTAAAGGGAAGATCAGGCTATATCGTGAAAAGGTAGAACTGAGGAAGAGATTTTGCTAGGCTGAAGGAAGGATACAAAAGGAAAGAACACATTGCAAAGGCAATAGAGAGGAGAGAATTAATGGAGTAGGATACTAGAAGAGAGTATTTATGTATTTTTGTGTATGAGTGAGTGTGTGCACATGCATGTGCTGGGACCCGAAGGAAACAGAGATTGGATTAGGGCAATATTTTGGTTTATATTCAATTCTTTGAACAATACTCAGTTTTATAGACTGTTCATGTTTGATATCTCTGTGCACCTCTCCCATGAACCAATCGAGAAGTTGCTTTTTTTTGACAGTAGCATTTTGTAGATGCAGTTTGGTCTTATATTTCCACAAATAAAAAACAAAACAAATCGCACTTTATAGCTCTGTGAACACTCAGAGAGAAAACTTTCTTAGGATGATACATGGCAAAGAAAAGAATGTTTCCTCTATTTCATGTATAGAAAGCACATTAATATTTTCCCTAGATATAGAACTGGTTATATATGCCTTTGACTGTTCTTACTGCAGTGTACTGTAAACATAGAATACATTTTAGGGGTGAAGACCAGTCAGAGGGGGAAAAGGAACAACTAAGCAAAATGAATCTGCAGGATATTTCTGTCCAGTTTTCATAATTCGCTGTTATGTAGTTAGGACCTCAAGGAGCAAGGGCTACATTTTCCTTTTTCATTTTGAAACAATCACAGCATTATTTAATCAGGACAAAAATTTTATTTTACAAAATCTTTAAGGAAGGAGGAGTATTTCTTCATGATCTACCAATGAAGTTTGAATAGAAATAATAGGAAGCCTCTTCCCTACATTGTCATCAAAACATCCAAAAGTTTTATCCTGCCTGGAAAATTCCTCACACATGATTCTGATTTCTTAGCTTCAAACTGTGCCTGGGAGGAATCTTTTGTTCTCGGTGCTGCCAAAACTTCCACCTTCCAGCAGTGACCTCAGTTTAGCACCTGCTCATAAGATGTGTTTGCACATCGTTGGTACATTATGATGACATATATGTTCCCATCAAGGAGACTGTCATAGAATCCAGAAGATGTTAACATTTTTCCATCTGTGTGTGAAAGTGACGTTTCCTGTTAATTTTGTTCTCTTGCTGAACTCTCCAAGCAAAAGCCTTCTGTGGGAGGCAGAATGATGTCATTACAGTCATAGCATAAATTTTTCAACCTTTAGAATGAGACATATTGTGGCATATATTTCACTACTTTTAAAAGCAGTAAAATAAAAACTTGGAGGATGATGATATCAATTTTGTATGTTCAAGTGTGGGGGTTTCCAGAGCTTTGAGAATGACTCCAGGGCTAAAATTTCCTCTGGCACATGAATTTCCTCTGTCGCCTTAGGAGAGGCAAACCCATTTAAGGATGTTCATGTTTATGAGACCAACAGAAACTTGGCTATTTAATTTCAGACGTATTGAGACTTTTTGCAGGCAAAATAGTCTAGCACTAGTGATTTAAAAATAAAAAGAGATCAAACCTCCAATTTCAGCTCTGACATGTAAAAGCTTGGAAGTTGTCACTCCCATTTTTACAACCAGAAAAATGCTGAACAAACTGAAAATCAATAACTTTCTTTGGACTTATCAGAGAACTGGTGTTGCAGAGAAAACTGCCACCCTGAAGTTCAGAGAAAGAGGTAAATGTGGAGTCACAGTCTCCATCTCCTTTCCTTAAAAACTCACTGGGGTCATAAACTGCTGGAAACAAATAATAACTGATAAATTGTTAGAGGCTGAGTGTGGACCAGCGTGAGAGTGAAATACTTCTGGGGGCTGCAATCTTAAGGGGGCCCTAAACACTTTCTTGGGTTTTACCTCCAGGAACCATTCACAACATGGCCATTCTGAAATACTCAGTGTTCTCATAATGAATGAGTGCTCTTCAGAGGACAAAATTTAACAGAGCCTTAACCAACAAAGGGAACGGAATTCTCTCCACTCCAGCCTCCAGTAGCTTCCCTCCAACACCTCAGGGGAAAAAAACCTAAGAATTGTAACTTGTGAAGGTTACAGCCCAGGTGCAAAGCCCACTAGGAGAGATTCAGTCATAATATTGTAGAATGGTTCCTCTCCCTCTTCCCTTCCATCACATCAATAGGGGTCCAGTGCATTATAGCTCAAGGAGTAAAAGACGGACTTTATCTAACAAAGGTGTCTTAGGGAAGCCAAAGAGAGAGGGAGACAAAAACAAGGACAATAAAGGAATCGAAACCTCTCCCACTTAGTTACAGCAAACATTGGATACAGCCCTAGTCCTAGGTGCACTGACATAAAACCTTACACTGAAGGACTATTTACCTCAATTTGTATCACCAGACACACTATGTCTGGCCTTCAGCAAAAAAACTATAAAGCGAAAAGGCAAGAGAAAAACAAGGCCTGAAGACAAAGCAAACATCAGACTAGACTCAGGTATGACACAGATGTTGGAGTTATGAGACAGGGAATTTAAAATAACTATGGTTAATATGTTCTGGGTGCTAATGGGAAAGCAGAGGGTATGTAAGAATATATGGGTAAACTAAGTAGAGGGATGGAAACTCTAGGAAAGAATCAAACAAAAACACTAGAAATCAAAACCACTGTAACAAAAATAAAAGGTGCCTTAAAACAGCTGATGAATAAACTTGATACATCTGAGAAAATAGTAAGTGAACTTGAAGACAGGTCACTATAAACTTTCCAAAAAGAAATTAAAAAAAAAGTAAAAAAAAATTTTTTAAATGAACATTCAGTTAAGTGTGGTACAGTTACATAAGTGTAACCTACAAGCATTTGGAAAACAAGAAGAGAGAAGAAGAAATACTTGAAATAATAATGGTGAAGATTTCTCAATATTAATGATAGACACTAAACCTCAGACTAGAAAGCTCAGAAAATGCAAGCAACATAGGGAAAAAAATCTAGGCATATCACATTCCAACTGTAGAACGACAAAGAAAGAGAAAATGTTGAAGTCAATCAAAATTTAAAAAAAGATACCTGACTTTTAGAGGAAAAAAGGAGAGGAATTACAGCACACATTCCTTCTGAAACATTGCTAGCAAGAAGAGAGTGTCAGAAATATTTTGGGTAGAAAGAAAAACCTCAACCTATAACCCTATACCAGGTGAAATTATTCTTCAGAAGATGCAAAGAAATATAAACTTTTTTAGACAAACAAAAATTGAGTGAATTCACCACTAATATATTTTCCCTGAAAGAATAATTTTTAGAAAGTCTTTAGGGAGAAAGAAAATGATATAGTTCAGAAACCCAATCTATATAAAGGAAGAACATCAAAGAAGGAATCAATGAAGACATTTTGTTAAATAAAATTAAAATATTCTATTTTTCTTATTTTAATTAATCTGAAAGATAACTGTTTCTTTAAAATCACAATAGGAACAATGTATTGTGTAATTAAAGCTCATAGATAAATGAAATGGGTAACAGCAATATCAAAACGAACAGGAGGGAGAAATTGGGAACACCGTTTCGAGGGTCCTGCACGACACGTAAAGTGTTTTGAGGTGAACATGACTTAGCTAAAAGATATATGGCAAATTCCAGTGTGACCAGTTAAAACTTTTAAAGATAAATATATTTGTAATGCTAAAAGAGGAATGACTACGGAGTCATATAAAATACTGAATTAAAACCAGAGGAAAAAAAAAAGACCAAGTGCAATGAACAGAAAACAGAAACATGGCAGTTACTAATCCAGCCATATCAAAATACATTTTAAATGTGAATGGCCTAACTACACAAAAGACAGATTTATTGTACTTATTTTTTAAAAAAAAAAAGACAGAACTGTATGATGTCTAGAAGAAATCCACTTTAAGTATAAAAACTCAGCCTAAAAGTAAAGGAACAGAGAAATATTGTGATAATATTAATCAAAAGAAAACAAGGGTGGCTATATTAATTTCAGATACAGCTGACTTCAGAACAAGGAAAATTATCAGGGATTAAGACAGGCTTCTGTGATGACAAAGGGCCAATTCTCCAAGCAGACATAATTCTTTATACATATATATAAATATATATGTATGTATATATATTTATATATATATACATACACTTCAATAAAAACAGACCAAGTATGTGAGATAAAAACCGATAAAATTTTGAGGAGAAACAGATAAATCCACTATTACAGTTCTCATCACCTTTCTGTTAGTAATTGATGGATCAAGCAAGCAGGAAATCTGTAAGGATATAGTTGAACTGGATAGTATTATGGATCAACCTGGAATAATCAACACTTATAAAATACTCTATGCAACACTGGCATTTTTCTCAAGATTTCCTGGAACATTCTTAACGACAGACCAGATGCTTCATCCTAACACATTAACAAATTTAAAAGAAAATGAATTACATAGGCTATGTTCTCAGACCACAATGGGATTAAGTTAGAAATCAGTAACAGAGATAGCTGGAAAAACTCCCAAATATTTGGAGATTAATCAATACACTTTTAAATAATATATGGATCAAAGAAGAAATCAAGAAAATTTTTAAATATTTTGGACTCGCAAAACTTTTGGAATTCAGGAAAACCAGTGCTTAGAGGGAAATTTATAGTATTAAATGCATCAATTAGAAAAAGAAAAATCTATAATCAAGTCTCCCACTTCGGAAACTAGACAAAAAAGACCAATTGAGACTAAATCAAGTAAGAAAAAATAAATAAAAGAGTAGAGATAAATGAAATTTAAGACAGAAAAATAGAGAAAAAAAAAATCAATGAAATGAAAAGCTGGTTCTTTGAAATGATTAATAAAATTGATAAACCTGTAGGCAAATTAACCAAGAAGAGAATTTTAAAAATCACAGTATCAAAAAGGAAAAAAAGATCGTCACTACTGGTCCCAAGGACATTAAAAGAGTACTAACAGCTTTATGCTCCCAAACTGATACCTTATTAAAAAAAATCAATTTTTTGAAAGATACAACTACCAAAACTCACACAGGGAGAATATCTAATTTGACTGGCCTGTATCTATTAAAGAAATTGAATCAACAATTACCTTTCAAAAGAGAAAGCATTGGTCCAAATGGTTTTGTTGGTGAATTATACCAAATATTTAAAGAAGAAATGATATCAATTCTTCAGTCTCTTCCAGAATATAGATGTAGAAGAAACACTACTTTATTCCATGAGGCCAGCATTACCCTAACACCAAAACCAGACCAAGACATTGCAAGGAAGGAAACTTAACAGATCAGTATCTCTTCATGAACACAGATCAAAATTCCTCAAAAATATATTAGCAAATTGAATTAAACACTATTAAGAGAATAATAACAGCAGTCACAAACCAAGGGAAATATTTGCAAAGCACATATGCTTTGCATCCAAAATGTAAAAATAACTCTTAAAACTCAACCTGTAAGAAAACATACAACCTAATTTTAAAAGTTTAAAAAAAAAAAGAAAAAAGTATACGAAAAGATGATCAACATCATTTGTCACTGGGAAATTCCAAATTGGAACAAGCATGAGATACTATTACATACCTATTAGAATGGGTCAAAGTTGTTTTAAAAAATGACAACAAAGGTGGTGAGGATTTGGAGCATTACTGGTGGGACATCAAAATGATGCAGTCACTTTAGATGACAGTTGGAAAGTGTCTTATAATGCTAAACATAGTCTTACCATCTGATCATATCATAAGCAATCATGTTTCTAGATGTATGTCCAACTTTTAGCAAACTTATGTCCACATGAAAGCCTGCAGATGAATGTAATAACTTTCTCATCACCAAAACCTGAAACCACCAATTTATCCTTCAATATGCAAATGAATAAACAAACTGTGGTACTTCACAATAAAATGAGTTTTTCAGTGATAAAAATAAATACCAATTTTGAACTGTCATATGAAAAATATGAACTATCATTTTTTAGGTGAAAGAAGACAATCTGAAAAGGTTACATACTATATAATTCCAATTATACAACATCTGGAAAAGGCAGACAGAAAGTAAGAAGATTACGGGTTACAGGGACAGAGGGGAAAGTTAAATAGGTGAAGCACAGAGCATTTACAGGGTGGTGAAAATATTCACTGTAAAACTGCAATGGTGGATATATAACATTATGCATTTGTCAAAACCCATAGAAGAGAGTGTGGTACAAATATTCTTTCCTCCGTCAGCAGGGAAGGCCTAAAAGAAATAACACGGTATTAGCAGAGTATACCTAGTGCCCAGATCTTCATTTCCAATACCATTTTCCAATAGAAGGAACTAGAGCTCCAGAGAAAAAGGACTGATTCTAGGTTTGGGGCAAGAAATACACAAGATGAGCCAGGATCATCTTATAACACCAAAAAGTGGGAAAATGATACATACATACATACACACACACATACACAAGCTGATTGAGGGTATATTAAATAGACAAGATCCAACGGAAAGAGTTCTC